CTGAATACTTTCCGTACCCACTGTATATAAAGACAAACCCACACACACACACAGAGCATCATGAAGTTGCATCAGCACCATGTCAAGCTTGAATTTCAAGTACACTGTTCATCTATCAATGGGCTGTGACTCTCACAGTTGACAACACTAGTGGCATCGGACCTTGAATGCTAAGTGAAGTATTTGTGATGAGGAGAAGGTTCCAGGGCAACTTCAGAACTGCTGCCATGGTCTTCGTCACTGTTATTAATCCCTACAGTCTGCAACTAAAACTTTTAAAATTGGATGGAAGCAGAACAAAGGAAGTGGGACAATGAACTCATTATCTAAAAAGCTGCACTGACTGCTGCTGTTTGCTTTTATTTGAACAATTATGTCTATGAAGTAATGTTTGACAGTAAGGTAGTGACAAATCTAACTATACTCAAAAGTGTCATTTTTCAAAGTGAGGTTTATTATAACATGACTTGACTACAGTATTAAAGGGCTACAATGACTTTGCATGTTAAGTTTTTAGTTTGTGCGATTATTAAAGGGAGATAAAACTGTTTTGTAAATTTCTGACTTGCATAATTAAGCTGTAGTAGTAATACGTAGTAAGGTATACTACTGGAGCCTATGTAAAATTTAAATGGAGGGTTTTGATGCCAGCAGGTGTGAGAAGTCATGCACTGTACCAATTCATATGGTAGCTGCTAATTGTGACAACTCAACAGGCTTAAACACTGCTCACCTACATTAAAGGTACTTAATTTTATACTCGTTCATCTTTGTAGCTCTTCAAAAAGTAGCTTAAAATAGCTTAAGACCTTGTCATGGCAGCATTTAAAAGCTGACATTTTTGTGTCAAAATTAATTCATTACAGTGGAAATGTTGAATTTGTGGATTTGTTCAGCCAAGAAAAGAGTGGTTTGAATACAGTTAAGAAACAGGAGTTGATAGTACAAATATGTGTTTGGTGTCTTTAACTACATTTCTGCTGCCGCAACCTATCGAGCGGTATATCCTTCCATTAACCGTCACCTGGCATAGCCTCGGGCTGACGCAGACCTCTCTGCTATACTTTTCCATTGCATTTTTTCCTGTGTTGGTCTTTGTTTAGACGAGGGCAGGGCTGCACTCCTCATGTTCTCACAGACACACTCAGCTGAGCAGAGCATGTGAATCAAGGATCACAATGCTCCTTAGTGCAACAGTCAGCCAGTAATGGAGACAGTATGAGCAGTTTATGAAACAGCTGTCGAACAAGCAGAACACAGACTTGCAGAAACCAGTGCATGTGTGTTTACACATCTTGCTAATAGTTGAGATGTGAGGACACTGACAATAACCTGGAATGTGGTTTTAGTACTACCTGCTGTGGAGTGCCAAAATTTGGCAGGACTATGGAAGCAAAAGCAGAACCTAGGACAAATGTTACTCATTTTGTTATATTTTGGTAGATTCCTCTAGTGGAAATACCCTCTTTGTTTCTGAAAGTCATGACGTCTAAATTGTCAGACTGCTGTCCTGATCAGTATCAGTGCCAAAGATTTTAGAGTCAAAAACAAATGAAATGTGATATTGGTGTAAAGCGGTGCAAACTGGTCATATAATTTCCTGGTCACAGTGACTGATGAACTCCTTGTTACTTCTTGATTTGCCTCTTGGTGATTGCACTTGTTAGCCACAAATATAACATTGCTGAAAATGTATTCCGTCAGTTCACCTTAATTCTCACATATGAATAAACTATATCCTTGTAAACATGTTTTATCAGTTTATATGCACAATAGAAACAGTGCCCTCTGTCAGTATCTCTATTAGCTTACATTTCAGGACCTCAAGTATCCAAGTTGTTGAGGTAATGAAAGGGTGCTTTTCAAATCAGTCAGCTGAGGACAAGAAGAACCACTGAATGTCTGTGCTACCCTAGTGTGGGCTGGTTTACTTAACCTTGGCAATAGGCTCCCTACTCTGTCTGAATTAATGCAAGGCAATAAGGCACACAGCATCAAGACTCTGTTGTTATTACTCTTCAATTGTAAACCGCCCACAGAAATGGCTTTTTTCTATTTAATTTTTGTTGCAATGTTATTGTGTGTTTCAACTGATGATGCCAGACATTTCAACTGTAAGTAACTGTTCTTTTTAAATAAATACTGTATAAATGTTTGTCAGTGCAGTGTGTGTAGTAATCAGTGAAGTAGAGGCACAGCACTCATATCAGAGAGGGTGAAGAAAAAGCATGTCATCATACTAATCATTTCAAAACCACCAGTAGATCTTTACTCATTCCTCAGGAATCAGAGAAAAGAGACCTGTCTGTAGAAATGTCAGTGAAATAGTCAACATTATTATGTCTCATTGAACTTTTTTCTCTCTGCCAAAAATAGCACATTTTTATTGTTTTGTACTGAAATTCATATTTCTGTTTTGCTTTGAAGCAAGTTTGAAGACTTACTACCAAATCTGACATAAAAGTGAAAATGCTGCTTACATCCCCTCAGTCTTGGTTTTGTGTATTGAGATTAATGACGCCACACAATTAAAATGTTAATTATGTACTGACATTTAAGATGCTACCTGTACTGTACTAAAAAGTACAGAGGTGGGCTATTATTAGCAAAATACTACTTAAGGTTTCACAGTACAAATACTCATTCATTCAGTGCATTGTATTTTCTATAAAAAGTAACTAACTGTCAGGGAATGTAGCAGAGTAAAAAGTAAATGTAAAGTAGCATCAAATGCTGTATCAAATTCTCAATTAAGTACTTACTGTAAGTAAGTACAGTAATTGAGTAAATGTACTGAGCTACTTTTCACAGCTGCGTAAGTAGTTGACATTCTGGCTATAAATTCAGAGTGTGTTCTGCTCTGACCCTGTTTATCTTCCAGCTACATTTATTAGAGAACTGCTTTTCTCATCCTATCAAGAAAGCCTTCAGATTGTAGATGAAGCCTTACTCCACTCTCGACACCGGTAATGAACAGTCGAATGAATGATCATATTGTCTGCCTCTGTTTAAACTGAAACAATACTTGTTCAAAAACAATTGAAAGAAAACTAACTTTCCTTTTATCTCTCAACTTCTGTGCATAGACGGAGTGCACACTCGGCCTCCACACATGTGTTTACGTTCTTTCGGCAAACTGAGCCTGAGACCTGGGAGAGTTCCCGAGCTGCAGAGGTTTTTCTAACAACTCTGCAAGTCTTAAAGAACAGAGCAGGACAAAGATATAAAAGGGATGTCAAGATACCAGGTAGAATTGCTTTCTGTCATTAAATCCAGAGGATCTCTTCCCTGAAAGAAACCTTTGGAGACAGTTGTAAACCATGTCAGAACAACTTTTACACAATCAAAAATAATATATTCACTGCCACTAAAACACTGGACACTTTAACCAGATATCAAAATCCTCAACACTTTAACTTTACTCCAAAAAGAGGAACATATTAAATTGCTGTTCATAAATGTTGGCACAATTAAATTTCTTTTTTTTTTTCTTAACTTTACTGTGTTACTTTTTTAGAGTTGTTGTCATGGGAGGACGTGGAGCTGATTGCAGAGCTCTCTCAGTGTTTTCCTGCAACACATCTAGCTGTCTGTCAGCAAAGTCACCTCAACAAATATCGCTCCATATCTGGTGTCTGCAATAACAGGTAGACTCGCTTATTACCTTTTGAAAAACCAAAGAACCAGGACTGCACTGTTATAAAGTAAAATGTATTGTATACAGTATAAGAACCAGTAAAGCAGGGATATTCTTTTTGTAACTACTGTACATTTCATGCAAATCACATTTTTGGAAAACTACTATACGTAAAGCGAATAGGCACAGGACAGGCATTAGTGAAGAAAGTCCTTAGATATGAGTTAAGGTAAAAGCCATTTCTCATGATTTTGGTAATCCAAACCACCAAACCTTTATCATTAACAATGCAGCAGCCCAGTTTTCCTTACAGCTTCAAAATTTAAGTGGCAATTTATTTTTCCCAAACTGAAAATGAAAAGTTCATTTCATATTCGATTTCAGTTTCATCATAGTAGCAAGGGCATATTTTTGTGTATAATAAACCTAGTTTTTAGTTTGAGCAGTAATGGTGCATTTTCAAACTTCAAAATCAATAAAACATTCAAGTTTAAGTTTTTGTGTTAGGCCATTTGCATACCAATAAAAGTTCGATTTTTGTAAACGGTGTAACTTAAAATTGTCAGTTATAAACCTCCAGAGTTCTAGTACTCTATGCTGCTGTTACCCCACCCAGTCTCCTAGACATTAAATTAGATTAAATTAATCTAAATACATTTATATCATTATATAAATTGCATTTATATGCAGCACAACTGAATTACAACTATAGATTCATAATAATATTGTACAATATCTGCTTTTAGCAACTCCAGGTTACTGTTAGAGAAAGATCATTGTTGTAGTTTAATACTGACAAAGCACAAGACAGAGGCAGGTTTGCTTTTTATGGAAATTTAACCAAAATTACAGTTTTTTTCTAATCTTAACTAAATTGCTTTTGTTGTCTAAACCTAACACAAAATGTGCGACTCGGGATGTGAACCCTGGCTGCTACTAGCACACCTCACCTGAATCTTCAACTGAACTATCGCCAGCTGTGTTGCATCATGGGTAATGTGGTCATTAGGCTTTGCTAAAGAAGAATGCATGTAACCATGAAGGCATTATTTGTAGTTCAGCTGCACAAATTTCCTTTTTGTAAAACTATCCACTGTGAATATGACAGTACTGTATAACAATACTGACTGCTGTCATCGTTTCTGTAACAACATTGGTTGGCTGAAAATAAACCCCATCGGTCTATATGCAGCACGTGGTTTTCCCGAGGAAGATGGTCCCCCTCACGTGCACATAACAAATAAACACTCTCATAGACGGACTCCATGCTGCATCCCTACTGTACCAGTCATTGCGAATCAAAATAGATTTAGCAAACCTCTCAGGTAGCTGATATGTACATGTATACTGTACTGTATGCAGTTGAGTTTAGATGTATTAATTAGTATTAATACATTAGTATTAATACTACATAATATTAGCATTAATTTAAACTTTTGTCATTTGGAGAAAAACAAATGCAGTTAAGTTCAGTGATGGACTATGGTATTTTGTATTATAGTATTTTTGGACACACTCCATGGTTCTTTTTGTCAGGCAAAATCCTCTATGGGGAGCAGCCAACACTGCCTTGGTGAGATGGCTTCCAGCTGAATATGAAGACGGGGAGAAAGAACCCAAGGGTTGGAACCGAGGACGGCTCCATAATGGATTCCAACTTCCCCAGGTAATCTACAAAATGTTGGTCTGATGAACACAACAGTCTTGGTGGAGAAATTAGAACTGAAGTGAGCTCACCCTGCAAATCCAATTTCATGTTGCATTCCATTTATTTTGCTGACCTGTTTTATAGCAGATAAAGTCCACACTGCTATTTCGGAAGCGCGTGAGATGACATAGATTTTGGTTCCATTTGAATATTATGGTCTGCTCTTTAAATGATGCCATTTCCATAACTTGAAAGGAGTTGATTTCTAGTTGTGTGGATAAACATTACTTTTCTCAAACAGCAGATGAAACTGTTATGGTGATTTTTGCCCTGAATTTCAGTCTTAATTTATGCACTCATTACACAGGGTGAGGTCCTTTAGTGGAAGAACTCGTCAATTATGTATCAGTTGCATCCAGCCAGCAGTTTACTTCCATATATAAATATACTAAAGTCTTAGATAATTAATAACCTTTGATCTTTACTTTTTTCTTCCTTTTAAATAGGGGTCAAGTAAATAATGTCTTAGATGTACTGAATAACTCATTTTAACAAGTTGCCAAAATCTTTTTTGTTGGAGAATTTATAAGAAAGAAAGTGTTTGATAGACATTTCACAGCCCCTTTGTTGAGCACAAAGCATTTATCTATAAGTTAATGAATTAGAGAAGAACTAGGTCACAAAAAAAAAAGAAATTTCTCATCCATCTCAGCCCCTGAATGTGACTTGATAGGCCTTTGTTTGTCACTGCAGAGATGGCTGGGTGAAAGTGCAACAGCACACTATAAAATGTACTGTAGTACTCACTGTCATCTAAAATAATAAAATATGTGTCAACAGCCACGGGAAATCAGCAAGGAAATACTGCAGAGCTCTTCTAAACATAAAGAAGACATCTATTCTCACCTGCTGGTGGAGTGGGGTCAGTACATTGACCATGACATAACCTTTACCCCTCAAAGCACTGGCAGTGCTGCTTTGTGGACTGGCGTGGACTGTTTGAACACGTGTGAAAATGTACATCCATGCTTTCCCATTGAGGTAAACAGAAAGCACCAGTCTTACTACATTTTGCTTACCTGGATTTTCCAAGCTGGTATTGTAAAGGAATAGTTGCACATTTTGTGAAATATGCATTTTCACCATCTTGCTCAGAGTTAAATTAAAAGACTTTATATGGCCATTCAAAATCAAGCTAAAGCCAGCAGCCAGTTAGCTTAGTTTAGTATAAGACTGACTTCCTGGAGTCTTCTTGTCAGTGTGAGGTTGCCACACAATCACTCCAGGATTTTGTTCCTCTCGAGAAAGAAATAGTCCCACACATGGCCCTCCATAAAACCATAAATTGTCCTTTTTACATGATGGCTTTTGTACACATTAAAAAAAATTGTTACTTTTTGAAGTACTGGTAGATGAATATAATTACCTTTTGCACAGAGCCAAGCTACCCATTTCCTCCTGTTTTCTTTATGCTATTGCCACTCCAGCAGCTTCATATTAAAACAACAGACACTAGAGTACTTTTAATCCTCTCATTAATCTCAGTGAAACCCAAATAAGTGTATTTTAAAATTGCATGATCACAGCAATGAATACAATGGATAGATATTCAAAGTAGTTTAAAATGCTGTTGAAGCAGATTGTTGTAAATGAATTTTGTCTTTTCTACAGTCAGATGATATACTTTCTGGTGCGCAAGGCTGCATGGCTTTTTATCGCTCCACAGCAGCCTGCTCCATCAGTTCTGGGTCTGACATTGGACAAGCTCTGCAGCGACAACAGATGAATGCCATCACATCCTTCATGGATGCTTCAGTTGTATACGGCTACACTCCAAAGCTGGAGAGCTTCCTTCGTGACCTCTCTGGCCGTAATGGGAAACTTGCAGTGAACAACCAATTCGAGGATCCAAAAGGAAGACCCTACCTTCCTTTTGTAGCCACTCTGCCGTCAGCCTGCCACCAAGATCCACAGGGAGAGAGAGTGGAGTGTTTCAGTGCTGGAGACAGTCGGGTCAATGAGGGTTTGCCCTTGACTGCTTTGCATACACTGTGGCTTAGAGAACACAATCGAATTGCAGAAGCATTGAAACACATTAATACTCACTGGGACCCAGAGGTGATATACCAAGAAACTCGCAAGATTATTGGAGCTCTACACCAGGTATGCAGCCTAAAATAGTTTGAGTATGTCAAGATAAAAACCTGTTTAAAATATAAAAGAATAAAAATAGAGATTGTGCTGGATACCTGTTAATCTCACATTACTGAACCAGCCAAGCAACTAACTCGTTGTAAAACCTCAAATTGTTGTGGCATTTCTGTGAGGTGGATATATTTAAAATCTATTCCCCCTGCGTTGTCTTTATCTGAAGTTAAACTAGCTCTAGATTTCACTTTTAGCATACACAAATGAAAGATAATAATCATTTTGGCAAGAAAACAAATAAATGCATTTTTAAAAATGATTAAATTTTCCTTTAAATTGCTTATTTTGTCTGACCAACAAATCAAAACCCAATACTAATCCCTCCACAATTGCAGGCTCTCAGTCATAGACTATTGCAGATTATTCAGTCCAGTAAACCTCAAATATCCATATTTGAGAAGCTGGAACCAGTGAATTTTAACACTTCATTAAGCAGAGTTAGAGGTTTGCATTGTTTTGTCATTGTAAATAAGCAAAAGTGTTTTCTGCCAAGGAAAGTAGCAACCACTTCTCTGTCCCTATGCCAAAAAAGCAAAGTGTTAGCATCAGCCATCTTTACCAGAACCCCACAGAGATCTGAAATTAAGTAAAAAATTGAGTTTTAAAAACTGCTTCTGTATTGTAATTCTGTTCTTTTGGTTTGGTGTGAGTGCTCTTTATGCTTTATAACACTGAACTTGTACACTTAAGGATTGCCCCAGAGAAACAGTTTTGTTTCTTATATTCAGAGGGATGACACACTTGTCTATGTTGCTGCGACCAGCTGTAGCAGCCTGTAGTCCTTTCCTTTCGTAGTCACTGCTGTCATTGACCACAGACCTCAGTCAGAATGTCCCTTTGGGTAACACTGTAGTTCCATGGTCTATCTATAATTTCTAGTCACTTCAACCATGGACTAGTTTTGTTGGATTACATATAGGAGAACAGCTCATTACCAACTATTTAGTTTATCACTAAATTGTGTCCACATGTAAATTATTCCTTGTAAAAACCGCATATTAAGGGGCTGAAGATCAAATTTGATAGTGGTGGTGTAAATGCTACGTGTTACAGAGCTGGTAATGATGAGAAATTATATGAAGATTGTGCTCTTGTTGATGAAGGCTATCAGAATTTTGATTCACATAAAGGGACTGTGGACATCTGGATGAACTGTTCTACAGCAACATTTCTCTAACTAGGGCCCGTCCTTAGTATATAAAGGACGATGGTGCTTTGTGTAACTTAGATGAAATGCAGTTTGGAGGAGAAAGGCTTCAGGGATCCATGCCTCTCTCGGGCACTGGCAGACCCCCTGCATGAAAGGAGGAGAAAGAGAAGAGAGAAAGATGCAGAGAAACGAGGAGGGAGGGAGAGAAGGTTATGAAAAGTGAAGTGGAAATAAGGCTTATTTGGTGGTTTCAATATGATAAGAGAAGTAAAGGGTGTGTACTTCAGGCATGCCCTGCTCCTGAACCTTAGGTTAAAATCTCCAGATCACTAGATGGGACCCGCCCTCGGTATGTAAAGGAATATGGCGCTTTGTGTAACTTAGATGAACTGTGGTTTGGGGGAGAAAGAGTTTGGGGATCCATGCTGCAGTCAAGCACTGCATGAATGATTGTTCCCCTGACACTGCAGTCTGATGACTGCTCCTCTGATGGGACCGAAATTATGTGAAGCACTGCAACTTATAACTGAGACAGTCAAAGCTTTGTTTTCTTGTCACGGCTGACACATTGTGGATCAACTTCAGTTTGTGTAGGATGTTGCTCGCAGGTCCAGTAGTTAACAAACATTAGATTATGCCTTGGGAAATTTCTGGCTAAGACAGTTATTAACTATGTTATTCTAGTAGTTTGGTTCTGTATTCAACCCCCTTTCAGAATCTTGAGCCATTTAGGTTATCCAGTCTCAGCCATCATTATTACCTTAGTACAGTAATTTGATCTTAAACAGTATTCATAACAGATTAGCAGGACCTGCATTTTCATTGGTAAAGCAGCTGAAAGTGAACTCTGTCAGGTTTTATATCTGTTTTGTAACTTGAAGCTACAGTACATGACACCAAATGTGATCCCACCAACGTGTATCTGAATTTGTGTGAATGCATGCATGTGATAAGCATTAAGATTCAAATGGTGACCTGAGGCCTTTATAAACAGTGATGAGGACATGAAATTATCTGCATTGAACTATGAGGAAACCAAATGTGCCATCATAAGCTCAGCCCCAGATAATAACCATGAGAGATTATATTCCAAAAATTATTGGCCCGGAATCTTTTGAATATTACATCGGACCCTATGGGGGATATGATCCGACTATGAACCCCTCAGCTTCCAATGTGTTTGCCACCGCTGCATTCAGGTTCGGCCATGCTACCATCTCTCCGATCCTCAGGAGACTGAACAAGACCTTCCAGGAACATGAGACCTTCCCCCACTTGAGATTACACAACACTTTCTTCAGTCCATGGAGAATAGTCAGTGAAGGTCAGTACACTCTTGTGAAGCTGCCTACTGGAACTAATAAGCTGTCCTGCAACCACACTAAACACACTATAAAAAGAGGGAATGTGAACGGAATGAAATAAATACTCTCTTTAGGTCAGTTTATGCAATGAAACTATGTCTTAGTGTAACAATTATTTGCACATACTAGTGGCTCATATGATGTATGTTAGACCACTGACTGGACATTTTTATGTCTAGTATGGTTTAGACAGTACAGCACGTATACACCACGTATGGATGGTACAAATGTTAACGCAACTTCACTTAGTAAACATGGTCCATTTGCAGTCTAATCTTATACACAGACATCCCAGCCTCTTCCAACATCAAATGATTGTCAGTGTTCAGTCATGAAATAAATTTAACTGCTATCAAGTTTGTCATTTGTACCACAGGCAATGTGCTAAACTAAACTTTTAAAAGAAACAGTATGCTGCACTAGGCTGTTGTTTTTCTTTTTTGTCCTATATTTGTTTACATTTTAAAAAGTTAAGTATGCCAGATCTGCTGTTAGCTGTTCCTGTTTGCAGTTTGCAATAAGGATACACTCACAACTATCAGTGAATGAATTAAAAATATGATGGATGGATATCAGACATAATAATATACTTGGAAAGTTTAAGCCATACTAAATTGAAAAATAGTGTTTGATTTCTGAGTTTGATTTTGAGTGTGTGTGTATACAAACTGCAGCATTTGTGCCCTAATTGGTTCCAAACAATTGTTCTCTTGTTTTTACAGCACGAGTGCACAAATGCATGACTGAATGTACAATTCACATACATTTGAAGTGTAAAATGAAAGGTGATGTGTCATTGATGATGCATGTTTATATATGATATGTGAGTCAAAATAACTAGTAATATAAGACATGAGATGCTCTCCACCACTTTTATTTTGTCAAAGTACATGTAGCTCTCAGGGAATTATCAATACACAACTTCTTTATTACTTACGTATGCATATGAATTTATCATGTATCAAGATGCACAGCATATGATATGAAACAACACTAGTGTTTATTTAGAGTCGTGTTTGTGTCCACCTGGTGAATGTAAGTTCAGTATTCACTCTCTTTTAGCTCCAGCTCCTGAGAGAAAGACAGTATCTGGCTCTTCAGCTGTTAAATGCTCCAATATGTTCCTCAGGTTGTCTCCAATAATGACTGTTGATTATTTGGTGCTGAGCAACTAGTGAGCAGTGATTTTAAGAGCTTCACTGAAAACAAATGCCTGCAGTCAAAAACGAAGCAGTGAGAGTGAACTAAAACAGAAAGCTGAGGGCTTGACAGCTTAAAATAAAAAGCTAAAACTTTAAAGCTTTGCAAAGCCAAGGGAAGCTGCAGGTTCTAGTGATAATCATCTGTAGGTTTGTCACTATGAGCAACCCATGTCATTTTTTTACACTATTATGATAAAAAAATATAAATTTAAGCTTTAATACTTCGATATGCAAAATATTTTACGTACATTTTCAATAAAATTACCATTTTTTAAAATCTGTTTTCTATGTATGTGAATAAAAAAAATGTAATTCTCAAAACCATTAAAATATTTAAATGGATTAGATGACTGTATGACCTGCAGAAAGTTCTTGCCTTGCTGCGGTGACACAGGATCTGTCCAGTAGTCTTACTACTGAGCACAGTTGATTATAATAAATGACACCTTCATGCACAACAGTCCACTCATGCTATTTGTTCATATGTAATTGTTTCAACACCAGTGAGCCCAGGGGAAGCAGCCAATCAAGCATAGGAGTGATACACAAACTGATTTTGTGAACAGCATAAAGAAAAAATTCGATCAAAGGAAAAGTTTACTCACCAACCATACAGTATATCTTCCAATTTTCTTGATTTTCTGTTTTCATTTTTGATAATCAACAGGCGAGATTGGCTAAAACGAGGATACTTTTTGCAGTTTTCTGATGAGATGCCAGAAAAACTATAATGTTTGATAAGTCTCACAGACGGAAAAAAAAAGTGGAGTTATATATTGAATGAAATACTGTTTTGTGTCTAAGGTGGGATAGAACCAATCCTGAGAGGTATAATTGGATCTCCAGCACCAGCTGTTAGTGCACATGTGCTGATGGCAGAGGAGGTGACTCAAAGGCTTGTCGTCCTTGGTATACCACAGCACTTGGACCTGGCCTCACTGAACCTGCAGAGGGGAAGGGATCACGGTCTCCCAGGTAAGCCCTGAGTTGAGAGTCAAGCCTGTCAAATCAGAGTGACAAATAGCAATCATGGCACTATTTAATCTTTATCTCCCTTTGCCAACACATTTAACCACATACTTTTATAATAGCAAACGTGTCTGTCAAACCATTGACAACCACATTGATGTGTAGGCATTATACAGTTAGACAATGACCCGTGCTGTTAGTAGCTTGCCTCTGAAGTTGTCTGATTCCTGGTTCTTGATGAATAAATGAAAGTATCAATCCTGTACTTATTTTTATTGCCAGTTTGTCATAAAACACCAAACTAAACCACAATCCGCAAAAATAGCTCAGTCCAGACTGAACTGATGTTTGATCATTCATACATGCATTATTATACAAACTACCAGAAACTATTTTACTCTCTCTGAAAAACTAATAACACTGAGCATTTTGAGAAATATGTTTAAATGTTCTTACCGAGACTTATAAGTTAGATACAAATTTGATATGTAGGCTTTTTTGTCAGATTGAGTAATGAATCATCACATCTAATGAATACAACTCTTCAAATAATATAACTATAGACAGATATTTATTATTTGATGTTTGTTTTCAGAATATTCATTAATTGCTTATTTACTATGCGATGATGATTATATCATGATGTATAAATTTATTATTTGTGCTGTGGTAATTTGCTATTTGAAGGAATTGAGTTTTATTCATTAATGTACTCTGACATAATATAAGCTTCCATACTCATGCCTGTATGCTAAATATGAAGCTGCAGCCAGAAATAACTGGTTAGTCTCACTTAGTTTAAGGGGAACTCCATTACCTTTATACATCAAAGTCTGTTTCCATTTGTTGGAGATGTAATGTGTTTCAAAAGTTGTATAAAGTCTGTTGTAATTCCAGAGGAAACTCTGATAAATTTGAGCTGCAGACTACAAGTGTGACAATGAAAAAAGCCTGAGGGTGACAACTTTAGGATACATTAGCTGCTACTAGCATAACACACCAAAATCTCTGTGGGTGGTCAAGTTGCATTGTGGGTCATATCTCTGGATACAGTGTTTGCTACTTTGTTAAAAGACTGTAGTGTTAAATCACTGGAATTCTTTTTTGGCATAAAGACTGGAAACAGAGGAAACTGGCTACCACGAGTCTGTTTAGACAAAATCCACCTACCAGCAACTTTTTAGCTCTGTGTTTTAGCTGTAGCAAAGATCTCAACTAACTCAACTAAGTTGACTAAAAAGCAAAATGTGAATAAATCTGCTCATTATTAATTTATTTTGTACTGAAATTACTTTCCAGGATATAACAATTGGAGAGCATTCTGTGGACTTAAAGGCATTAAGACATTAGATGATCTCAAAAAGACTGTGAGAGACTCCAAGGTTGCTGAAAAGATATTAAAAATATACAAACATTCTGACAATATCGATGTATGGCTTGGAGGACTTATTGAAAACTTGTTACCAGACTCCAGAACTGGTCCCCTCTTTGCTTGCCTGATTGGAAAGCAGATGAAGGCGCTTCGTGACGGTGATAGGTATATTAATATTTGTTAATGTTTAAAAATGAAATGAAATAAAGATTCCAGTTCAACATATTTATAAAATGTCATATTTTTAAATGGAGAAATCAACCATTTTTGGTTTTCAGGTTTTGGTGGGAAGCTGAGGGTATGTTTACCAAGCAGCAGAAGACTGAGCTTTCAAAAGGTTCTCTGTCTCGGATCATCTGTGACAACACTGACATAACGGAAGTCCCCTCTGACTCATTCAGATTTGGGAAATACCCCACTGATTACATCTCTTGTGATCATATACCACTAATGAATTTGGAGGCTTGGAGAGAGGAGAAGAGCCAAGGTGGGCCTGAGAGACTTGTTGGGGTCATCCTAGTATTTAAGATAAAATGAATGCCTGTTTTTTTAATTTTTATTTTATGAATCCACTATACATTATTTTGAAATGTTTTATCACTCCCTTCCAGACTCAGAACGCTGTACCTCTCCAGCAAAGATAAAGAATGGGGATTTCATATTGTCCTCTACATCTGGCAAATTGGTTGCTCTGTACTCCTGTTATCATGGCTTCAAATTAAAGGGCACTGCTGCAGTAGTTTGTGAGGGAAACCGGTGGGGCGGTCAACCCCCACAATGTACAGGTATGTAAACTATTGTTGCCATGAACTGGTTTTTGGTAGAGTTGTCAGAGTTAATGTGATAATAACAAGTTAACACAAATTCCTTTTAACACCACTAAGTTTTTGGACAGGTGATTAATGTATCACATTCTGTGATCATGACCCTCAGCCTGCCCCCTAGTTGGGGAAATCAGGAAGTGATGCAGCAGTTAACAGTGTTGATGGCATGCAGAAACAAACCTTGCTGAACAGAAATGAATAAAGAAATGAATCTTTTGAATGGCAAGTTGACAACCTGTATGAAGATAAGAAAACTAAAGTGGAGGAGGTGTTGGGACAGACAAACACGGTTATACTCACCTGAGACTACTGGACTGCTTTCAGTAATCACATTTAACTTGGGGTTCCTTTATGGTACATTTAGTACCAGGGGTGGAAGAAGTACTCACATCCTTTACTTAATTAAGTAAAAATAGCAATACAACAATGTAAAAATCCTGCATTCATATTTTAACTTAAGTAAAAGTACAAATGTATTTGCATCAAAACATACTTAAACTACTAAAAGTAAAAGTACTCTTTATGCAGAATGGCAAATTTCACATTCCTGTATATCATCTTATTGTATTATAACTACTGATGGTTTATTGTGTCCATCACATTTAATTTTGCAGCTGGTAAAGGAGGAGCTAGTTTTAACAGCTTATTTGCATTTAATTTGTATTACTGCTGGGTAGCTTGTGAATTCTTTGCCATAGATCAATGTGGTTTTATAATTATACTGCATTTTCTGTATTTATCTGGTTCTGAAAAGTAACTCGTTTCTAAAGTTATAGAGTAAATGTAGTGGAGTAAAAAGTACAATATTTACCTCTAAAATGTAGCAAAATCAAAGGATGAAGTAACAGATAACAAAAATATTCAAGTAAAGTACGGATACCTCAAAATTGGAATTAAGTACAGTGGGGGTGGCTGTGGCTCAGGAGGTAGAGTGGGTCGTCTCCTAACCGGAAGATTAGCAGTTTAATTCCCAGCTTCTCCAGCCCACATGTTGAAGTGTCCTTGAGCAAGACCCTGAACCCTACTTTGCTGTGAAGGAACAAACAAAATCTTTGTTCGCAGTGAAATCTGTATTTTGTGCAGACTTCTGTGCACTTGAATGGTCTTTCCCTGCAGAATCCTCTTATAGTAAAAGGCTACTATTTTGTAGGATGTGTGACGTGTTTTGCATCCTGGGTGTGTTGTTTTGTGAATTATGCTGTTTTTAGAGTCCTGTTGTCAAAATTGTGTTAGCAATTGTAAAAAGAACATGCAAACATACTCTATATTTTATAGTTCAGCCTTTGTAAGGTTTGGTTTAACACCACAGGCATTCC